GTTCGTCTGTTGTTGAGTCTGGTCGAAAGTTTGTATGGGCCATTCGAAGGACACACGTTTGGTGGAAACATTGTTTCGTTTGTTGTTGAGTTTGGTCGAAGGTTGTGTGGTCCATTCAAAATACACACATTTGGTGGAAACAAACATTGTTTCGTCTGTTGTTGAGTTTGGTTGAAGGTTGTGTGGTCCATTCGAAGGACACACATTTGGTGGAAATAAACATTATTTCATCTATTGTTGAGTTTGGTCGAAGGTTGTGTGGTCCATTCAAAGGACATACATTTGGTGGAAACAAAAATTGTTTCGTCTGTTTTTGAGTCTGGTCGAAGGTTATATGGTCCATTCGAATGACACATATTTGGTGGAAACAAACATTGTTTCGTCTGTTATTGAGTTTGGTTGAAGGTGTGTGGTCCATTCGAAGGACACATATTTGGTGGAAACAAACATTGTTTTGTTTGTTGTTGAGTTTGGTTGAAGGCTACTGAACAAAGTCCTATATGCTTCTAAGCCCAAGTTTTATGTAATGTCCATATAACAGCCTAAAACCATGTCAAAAACAGTCGGTTGCACTGCTATGAAACAGCCCTGCACCAAGCTGCCACAACACTCCAAAACTGCTGTAAAATAGTCCTGCTATGCTGCTCCTAAACCAGTCCTATATTTGCACCAAAATAGAATATAAGAGATGCACCTCGAAATCCATGAAAAGAACATACCCAAACTGTTCAAATTTCATTTGTTCCCCCCCCCCCCCCCCCCCCCCTCCCCAAAAAAAAACTCCAGCAAGACTTTTCTATAAATAAGTTGTTTACACAACATACAAAAGGGGATTTTGAGCAAGGAAAAAGGAGAAGAAAAAAGAGAGAGAGAGAGAGGAGAGAACACTAAGGCTGAAGCCTTGAAACACTCTTAAACCCAAAATCAAAAACAACACCTCTTTTCTCTTCTTTCGAACCCGTAACTAAAAAACACAACACCTCTTTTCTTTTCTTTCGAACCCAAGAGTATTCGAAGGCAACAACTCAAGTCCAAAACACACATTCCAGCTTCAAGGTAAGTCTTCTTGACTTTAAACTCTTCGTTTCAAGCATCATTGGTGTTCATTTTCGAAGATAACATGTAATAATCATTACCTTTGAAGCTCCCATTTTGTTGTTTTACTTTCTCGACAATCATATATTAAGAACTAACCTGTATAGACCATAAAACAATGTTGGAGTGGGAAATTACAGCATGCTTTGACACAAATCCTTAGGCTTCGATCCATACTGCTTCACAGGTCCAAACAAAATGGAAAAAGGGGGTCGAAAGAAGGATATGCTTCGATGCACATAAGCATACTTTGACACATGCTTCGAATCATAACATTATGCTTCAATTTGGAACTACAGGATATGCTTCGATGCATATAAAGCATGTTTTGAAACATGCTTCGACACATGTTGTCGAAGGGTTAATTTTTTCTCTCTTTTGCGCTTTTTTTCTTATATTTTCATATCTATTTTAACTAACCAAAAGCCTTCCATAAAAAAAAACCCAAAAAAATAATTTCTTGATTAGTTTTATTTCCTTTTAACTTAGGATTAATTTTCCATTTTTTTAATCATATCCCTTTAGGTTAATTAGGTTAAAACAATTTTCCTAACAAAAATCCAAAACAAAATTCATTTCTTTTTATATTCTTTGTACATTATATTCATATCATTTCTTGTACATTTATTCAATATGGTTGTAATATATAATTAGGTTTAATTTCTTACAATCCTCATTTGTACATTTTGTATCCCCCATCCCCTAATGATATAATAGCTTAGAATTTTAATTTTCGCAATTTACCGCTTTAATATAAATTGTTAGTAATTAGGGTGTGTATGGAAAGATAAAATAAACCGTTAGAAAATCATAATTTCAAAGATAAAAATGCATGCAATCAAACACACTATTCACACACATGCACCTCTAGGGTAACCTCGCTTGTTGCCTCAGAAAATAGTCATATCCCTCGAATATGAGCGTTTTAGCAAAGACCCTCGATAAAAAGTTAGTAGTCCCTCAATGTTGCCTCTGGTAAACGATCTAGTCCCTTACGAAAATTGCTTAAACGTATCATAAGTTGCCTTCTATGACTATACGATGACCCACGTCTGTCTCTTCACATCCAATGACGGGGCTTCTTACCAATCAATGGTAAGATAGTAACATCTAAAGGAGGAGGAAAAGAACATAAACCTTTTGAGTAGGTAGGACGCTCGTAGTTGCTTGCTCACAAACTAAAACCACTTCCACACTTACAATTTTAAAATATCTTCAAAAAACAAACATCTCTTTGAACTATTTTCAAAACCAACATTTTGTATAAATTCTTATAGAGACGAGAATCATTACAAAGTTTGCCGCAACAAAGGCGTTTTCAAAATACTTTCAAACTTACACCCATCACAAAATACATTTTCAAACAAAGCATTTTTCAAAGTCATCTAGCAAGCAACTAAGAGCCCGTAGATAACTACGGATGGAAAGGGTGATAACACCTTCCCTTTTTATAACCTACCTCCCGAACTCAAGAAAATATCTCAAAGGTCTTTCCTATTATTTTCACCCTTTCCTTTATTGGATAAAAGAAAAGTCGGTAGCGACTCTTACTATCCGCAACAATTGTGATAAAGCGCAAAACACCTAAGTCAGTTCTCTCACTGTATTACAATATATATATATATATATATATATATATATATATATATATATATATATATATATATATATATATATATATATATATATATATATATATATATATATATATATATATATATATATATATATATATATATATATATATATATATATATATATATATATATATATATATATATATATATATA